AGACATTGGGAAGTTAGCCATGCATGGAGAGATATGGACGCCTGTTGGAAATTCATACTTGACAAGATCATGCATCTGATCTCTTAGTCGTCCACTTTCGCGGCCGAAGGCCCCAAGGACTAAGGTAATAAGGAACCACACTCGCAAACTACTTAAATCAAAAAGACACCACTGGGCTGAACGCAAAAGGATTGGCACGAAATGTGCCAACAGACAATTCAAACAGAAAGGAAACATGTGTACGAAGGCATTGAGAGCCGATCGGCGGTGACATCAAGTCAGACTCACAAACATGTTTGTGTGTAACCCGAGAAGTCTATTCCGCTGCGCTGCTTCATTCCGGCTGGCTAAAGCGGGAGTCACTCAACTACTCGGTGCGAACGGACTGACTAATGGCGACACTGAAGCAGCTGATCTCTTGGCAACCAGTATCTGCAAATCTTTTCGTCGTCATCCACCCACTCATGAGCTTACGAATATACCACTAACAAAGTAGGACTCTCAGTGGTCGACCTAAGCGCTGAGCCAGTGCGCGCAAACTGCTACTGCTCACCAGAGGCACCTCTCCTGGACCAGACAAATTCCACCCGACGGTACTGAGAGAGGGAGCCTCAACCTTGTCCGAACCCTAAAGTAAGTCATTTAAGAGTTCTCTGAGTCAGGAGATAGTATCTGACTCTTCGAAGCTGGGCCACATAACGCCAGTCTTCAAAGGAGGCCAAGGAGGCAATCCAAGGAAACACAGACCGGCAGCACTTCTATCATTCCTCCCAAAGTAATGGAATCATTAATATACAATGGACTGAGGGACTACCTCACAAGGGTAAACTTCGCGCCCCAACAACGTGTGTTTCGAAAGGGATACGCCCGCACTGCCAACTTGTCCGCTGCAGTAGATGGGTAGACTAGCAGTGTTGACCATCCAGGACGAATCGATGTTATCTACCTAGACTTTGCTAAATTGTTTGACCGTGTTAACCACGACTGCCTTATTGATAGATTGAAATTAATCGGGATTCGACCTCCGCTAGCTGAATGGTTGTCGTCACACCTACGGGGCCATTCATTATTGATTTCGAGTGAATTTCTCCATGTCTGAAGGAACAGAATGTTCCAGTGGTGTTCCCCAAGGTTCAGTACCAGGTCACCTTTTTCTAATGTACATAAACGACTTGCCTCAACAGGTCTCTTCCGAATCCTTTTTTGCCGATGACGTGAAACTCTGGGGGAAAATCAAAAGCAAAGAAGACAGTGTTTCTCTATAGAAAGACAACTTTACAACTGGACAGTCAACAACAGGCTGGCACTTAATCCCGAGAAATGTAGAGTGATGCACGTAAAACACGATGCATCTCTTGTACATAGCGTCAGCGTCGTGGAACTTGGAGCGTCACTGACGGAGAAGGATTTGGGCATCTTGGTCCCTCAAGATTTAAAATCCGATGCCAACTATGGCTGAAACCCATTTCGTGAAAACTTGGCCTTAGTAACTCCCTGATGAATTTTCGGACATTTTGATCGTAGACGCTTTCACCAAATTTTCAACGGCTTCAAACGACTTTACCTGGAGTTCGGGATCATCGTCTTCCTCCCTTCTCTCCAGAAGAACAAACTAGGCTTAGAACGCATCCAAGGGCGTCCGACGACTTAGGTCTAAAACGCAAGAGGAACGACTGACTACGCCGGATCTGCATCCTCTGGAATACAGAAGGCTAAGAAGAGACTTTATAATGACTCACAGCATTCTGAGCACGCCTGGTCACCCACTCCGTCACTCATTAAATCTTATCTGTAGCACTAATCTTAGAGAACATGCACAGAAACTAAGCATGGAACATAGCAGGCTACATGCCAGGCACAACTTCCATTCTCTAAGGGTTGTTAAACCCTGGAACGCTCCTCCCGAAGATGTGATCCAGGCTACTTCGTCTGAATCCTTTAAACGCCGACTGGATACCCACTTGATGTGTGCCTGGGATCTGCCCAGAACTAAGTGAATTTTTATATTTTAATCGCCACTTTTTCACCTTTCTTTAGTTGTACAACAGGTTAAAAACCACAAGGAGTGGTGATCCACGGACTGTAGGCGCGGAAGTCAGTCAAGCGAAGGCTTCTCCGTCAGAACCATTTTGACCGTTTGAACTTTAGGATTTGTCCTGGTGCGAACTGAAAGACGCAAAGACCAATCACTAATTATTCGGACTTGTTATATACCCACGAATACGAGACCAAGGAAGAACACGATAGCGTAGTCGGATGGAATAGTATGTTTGGATGGTTGTGCCATAATACCGATGCGTTCCAACTAACTGGCTAGAGAGTCGAACACGAGTAGGGCAACGTAACACGACAGCGTGCCAAATGATGAGGATGCTTGACCGGGTGCGTTCAGCTTAGTGAGTCCAGCTAAACTATCATGGACAGCATCAATGTCGAAAGTCGTCAAACCCTGGTCTATTGATTTTGGGGGAGTGTGTGACGCTACAGAACTTTATACTTCCCAGCAGACATCTCCAGTAACCATCTGCTAATAGTATCACTATCTCTATTCCCTTGACCCACCCTATAATCCTACCTGCTCCTTCTCCGCTTTCTGACTCTATGTTCTCACACTACCGAATGAAAGTTCTTCCCACCACTTATCTCCCATGAATCTACTTAGGTTTCTCTTTCCGTCCCACTTCATTTACCTTGCTGTTTTTTGTTTCTTTCTTCACACTTCATCTTCCTTGATTTCCCTGGACATCTTTTATATCTTCTTTCAGCAACCAGTCCGACCAGCTGTCTGATGGCACGACAATTGAGGAATCCATCTGCACCACAGTCCTTGGAAAACCATACAGTTCCTACAAATTTAATCAACACCCAACTGCCCGTTGTGCTAACCAGAGCTACAGAGGGCGAGTGGGTAGACCTACTGCATCAGAATCCACCAAAGACCTAGGACCGCTCCTCAAGACCTAGAAGCGAGTGTGTAGAAATCAATTGGTTTACACTAGCTCGTGAAAAGATATTGATTGTTGGATTGAGCATTACTTCAAGGTCAGTGTAGCAATCTGTTCTTCGAGCTGTTAGCTCCTACTAATAACGTCTGGTACGGTATTAGTTTCAAGTTTCAAAAGGTCATAGCAAATAATACCTCAAATATTCGTAGTATTTTGCTGGTGATCTGTGATATTTATAAAATTACTCATGACACTTTAAAAAGTTTCCATTTTCTCCAATTTACCAAGTTATTTAGGAAAAGTAACCGGCTTTTTTTCCCCTGTTGTTTTGTTAGTTACATTGTATTGTATGTATTCCGTCAAGTTCAGCTGTAACGTTTGATAATCGCAGTGCTTAAATATTAATATTTAAGCTGAATTCAGCTCCTATAAAATCTGTTTGCAAACAACATTCGTTTTGAACAGTCCATGAGGTTGACTGTTGTTTTCAGTGGTGCTTCTCAACTGAAACTTATTTGTAATTTTACCTTCATTTCTGGTTTTGCCTAGGAAGTTTTGACAACCCCATGGAAGATTCAGTAGTATAGTTAGTGAGTCGGTTGTTATATTTCAATTCTTGCAGTAGCAAGGTCAATCAAGATCTAGTTCCTCCTGCAACTTTTTCACTAAAAGAGCTGGTGACAATTGCTGAGATATGGAGCTTCAGTCGTTTTCATTTGGTAAGAGAAACGTTTCATACTGAGTTGATTCGATGACGGCTTTGGACTTTCTTGTAATGGCATCAGAAATAAATTGTAGCTGCGGAAAAACAGATGTAGCCTATCAGTGCCGTGGTTGTTATTAAGGATATGGAATGATAGTATGAGGTCATCCCTTTCTATACTATAAAGTGGCGGGAGTAAGTTCAGTTAGTGCAACCGTTTCTCATAAGGCACTTTGTAAAGACCGGCTACAGGCTTAGTACCTGCCATTTTAACATCCCCCCATCCGTCAGTGAATCCCCTTTTGTAGTTAGCCTGTACAACAAAATGTGAATTAGTCAAACCCAGCTTTAGCTACAGTTTGTGTTTGAACAACAGTTATCCCTTGCAACTTTTTTGTGTGCATCAGAAAAGGAGAGATGGTTGGCAGTCCCCTGCACAAGGTCGGACAGGGCAACTGTTGCTCACTCTCTCAAGAGGCATGACACATCCGCTACTTCTGTGGCAACTCGGACCGTTACGTGGTATGCCTGGTCTTATGTTGATATCGATTGATTTGATTGATTGCAACTTTTTTAAATATGTGGTCACCTGTCATGAAAAAACCTGTGTCAATTTGTTCCATCATGATGACTTGGTTGACAACTCAGCAATATTTACCACGATCTCTCAATTGGTTTATTCCCCAACATCTTCGGTCATTAAAAATTTGAAATTGCTTCTTTACGTATCTTACTGTCTTCTCGAACCTGTTCGTCATCGTAAACTCACAGAACTATCTTAATCGAATTTGTAGCATCAGAAGCATATATGTTAATTTCTGTGATAAATTTCACCCCGAAAAATGTATCGATATCCCTCTAAATGCTTCAGGTTTACTTGGAGAAGTTGCACTAAATTCGTCTTAAATAACCTCGACAGTTGATGTTGTGCAAGGTTTGGACACTGGACGTGGTGTTTAAGAATACTACAGAGAATGGATGGGCTTCGGTACTGGTAACATTTACCAAGAAAGTCTCTTAAAAGTGTACCGCATTATTGCTACCAACTCAGTTGCATGATATATCGTATTAGTAGCTTGTATTATTTGAACGAACTTCTGTTCCCCTTTCGTCACCGACGTACAAAAACACCCTATTAAATTTAAAGTTTGTGGCAACTTTATTAGAATCTTTTGTTTGTTTCTCGGTGTCTTGTGTAACTTTAGACATGGTTTGTCGATATCCGACCGATAGCTGCTACTTGACTGGTGGTCAGGCTTGTATATAACAATGACCCAACGAACTACGCTCGCTGCAACCCTTTTTCCTCGAGATCCTACCATACCAGAAACGGCTGTCGGCCATTGGTAAGACCAAAGTAGTTACCGTTATTGTGTAAATTGCTACGATATAATGGGTCTCAGAGGGTGAAGTTGTGCTGCCTGCTGGATGGAGTGTGACGACAGTAAGGTTTTTCTTACATTTGACCAACAATATCATGCTGATACTTCCTTTCCTATGGGAAGTGGGGATTAGAAAAGTTTGGCCTGAAAAATAGCACACTCCATCCTGCTCTAGGGTTTTCAGATGCCGGCGGTATGGGTTCTCCTCATCTGGCGTTAGAACAGCCAAATCTGAAACAAAAATTCGCAAAAGGCTGTGCGTTTGACAGGCCTCAAAGAGATATCCAAAGGGTTCTGCCCCTTTTTCAGGTACCTTCAGAAGAACTAGCCTTCCACTGTATGGGCAGCCATGAAGTATCAACTGGCCGCATGCTTTCAGTAGTATACAAGAGCCAATCAAACGTAACCGATCCTCCTCAATTTTGTCTCCTACTTTACCTTCACGTCCTAATAGTAATGCCAAGCCTTTACAGTTTCTTCAACGTTTAATCCCACTACCATTTTCAACCGTCCGAGCCATTGAAATCTAATTCCCAGTTTCCTAAGATCCTGCTCTCGTTTTTCATTAGTGCTTTCAACGTCCGAACCCTATGCCAAATCGAACAACGAGAGTCTTCTGTATCTGTGAGACAGGTATACAGGACCCGAGTGTGGTTATCAAATTGACCTCACCTGGCCATTGCAGTGAATCTTCAAAATTCACTTCATGAGTGTCCGGAGACCCAATGGCTAGCTCTCGTAGACTTGTTGGTGTAGGCATAGCATAGTTACAGGGCCGAAAGTGCACTCCTTCACTGGATACCGATCAACGGCAGTGTGTTCCGTTCAACTGAATAAATCTGTAAAGCCAGGAAGGATCATGAGACTAGTCGATAAGTATTCGCATATACGCTCCCACTGACCGCAGTTCGGATGATCCAAAGGATGAATTCGCTGAAAAGGTGTTAATTTTGCTACAGAAAGCAAAACGTTCACACATAGTCATAATAGCAAGTGAATTTAACACTCAAGTAGCGAAGCTGAGCCAGTCGATAGGCCTTTTGGGGACACCTCTACGGAATCGCATGACAAAAACCCGACAACTGTGATCGTCTGCTGCTGTTTCGCTCTATCACTGGCTCGTTTCTACCCGGCTCTGACTTCAAGCATCAGGAGAGACACTGTCTCATATAGCGCCCACTGATTTCAAGGCAACGATAGACACATATAGGTCATATTGTTACAAGCCATCGTTTGAGAGGGTCTATGGAAGTTTCTCTATTTATGAAGTATCCGTTTGAACTCTGATCACGCGTTAGTACAGGGACGTGTATATCTGTGCCTCACTGGTTGCAGAAACAGAAAGTAGATGAGCCTGTGGGTGCTCTATTGGGAGATGAGAACACCAAGTATGTATTTAGGAAAGGAACAGTTAAGCATTTGTCCAAACCTGACACCAATCTTCATCCTGAGGAAGTCTAGCGTCATATTCAGCGGTTATAGAAACAGTGGGAAAGATGGTTGGTAGCATCCGTTCGAAGGTTAGGAAACATCTTTGCATTTCCACAACGTCATCCGAACTGATTGGTACGAGAAGTAGCTGGAACGTAAATTGACTAAGGGTCTTCCAATGATCGGGAGCAGTGTTGCGTGGCGAAAGCGAGAGAGATTAAGTCACGGGCGTTAGGTAAAACCCCACAACTATTTAGGCTTATTAAGGATGCCGGCAAGAAGAAAATAATGGTTAGTGAAACGATTACCGACGCTAATAACGTTTCAGGACAGATCTCTGAAACATTGGGCGAAACTTTAAAGCACAGTCCAACTGGCCCAAAACAACTCAGTTATCCAGCATCCAAATCTTGAAGTTAAGAAGGCTGTGTCGGATGTAAAACGATGGAAAACCATAGGACCCGACAGTTTGCCACCTGCAGTTTCCAAGGATGGATATAGGAAAGTACTGATGCGAGTGATGTAGGTACTAGGTAGTGTATGGAATCGGAGGTAGTGCCGTCAGACTGGTGTACTTTACTGATCATCCCAGTCTATAAGAAGGGAGAGAAATCTTACTGCGACAATCATAGAGGAACATCCTTTCCACGATCCTAGGACCCATAGTTATCCGATACCTAACTGGAGCTCGTAAAACCAGGCTGTTTTCAGACCTGGACAAGACGAGGGTGCATCGACCATATTTTCACCTTCCGACAGGTTGTGGAATACAGGCATGCCTACCAGTGTCCATCACTTGCCATATTTCTTGTCGTGAAGGTGACATATTCTGTTGACCGTGGGGTATTGTGGTAGTTCTGTGAACGGAGTACCGAGCAAGTATATAACATTTATCGAGTCTGTCTACTGCAACTCAATTCAAATGACAGCCACACATAAGCCCTTATGCGGCTGCGTAAATTTGGGTAGAAAGCTTTGATTCGAACTACATACTTGCCAGATTCTTTTCACAGCCGGACACTACCACAACACCTCACAGTCGACAGTCAGCTGCCCCCTTCAGGTCATGAAATATGACAGGTGTTGGTTGCTAGTCGACTAAGATGAAGATAATCTGTGGATGCATCTGCACCATTGAGATCTATTCTCAACCATATCCATAAAAAGTTCCCAGCCACCGATTTCGGCTGTTGCAAGGATCCCCACTCGGTAGTTTGCATTCTCCTACACTACTCAGACTCACATTCAAAGACTTCATAGACCAATGCCACCCTAAGCATTATCCGGCCTGAACCTACTTCAACTGACATTGTGCATCGAGGTCGACGATGACTAAGCATGGACAACACATGTCCCAGTTACCTCAGTCAGCAAAGGTTCGCAACCTTATCAAGTGACTATTCGCTTCTGCCCAAAAATCTGTACCTGATTTCTAGGTCACTGGTGTCGCGTCATTAGGACATGGCATATGCTTCTAAAGTAACGGTGGTTAGACACTTGAAGCCTCCTCATGTCCTCTATCTTCAATGGTAATGTTTCACAGCTGTGTAATACAATGAAATGAACTGCAGCAGGTACACTCTGGTTTTCCCTTGAAGTGCGTCTTTCAGCATCGTCACCTAACAGGACTTTGCCATCTGCGTTCTCTAAGTTATAGGTTGTGCGGATAAACTTCGAATCAAAGCATCATTACGTTTTAACTTGCCTTCCTAAATTGATCACCTGACTTTTTTTTATTACCTCCGTTTTCTCATTTATTTTATAAATTCTCTTAAGAGGTGCAACAACCTGAGTCACGATAAACTTCCAGGTTCCTAGTTAAACAAACTAGTCTGGATTAGTCTACGAATTCCTCATCCTTTCACACCTGGAAGTTTGGTAATATCTTTGAATAATTTGATGTCATTTTTATTTGAATAATCTCTATTACTACTATCGCTGCTTTGATATATTTAGACGATGGTCAACGAAGAATCTATAAGAATCAAGCTCATTCTTTTAGGTGATTCGGGAGTGGGGAAGACCAGGTTTGCTTTCAGTGACCAATTTTAGGCGTTTAACTTATTTTGTTACACAGTTTAATTCGTCGGTTTGTTGACGATCAGTTTATACACAATGAGGCAGCCACTATTGGATTCGATTTTATACCATATCAATTGGTTGTAGATGGTGAGACGGTTCAGTTTAATATATGGGTAGGCTTCATACTTCAAGTACATAAACAATTTCTTGTTTTATTTTACTAGGACACAGCTGGTGCAGAACGTTATAGTGGTTATCTGACTCCTTCATTCTATCGGAACGCTCACGGTGCTCTTTATGGTGAGTTTGGCTTGAGCCTAAACTTCACTGTTTTCCTTTTCTAGTATATGATGTTACTTCTGTACAAAGTCTTTCGGGGGTAAAGTATTGGGCTGAACAAACAGAACAGTTCTGTGGTGGTCGGCTTTTGAAAATGCTTGTCGGGAACAAAATTGATTTGGTTTGTTTCTTTCAGCTATATATATTTTCTACTGTTCTATCCTTAGGATGGCCGTGTAGTTTCGAAAAAAGAAGGTTCAGATTTCGCTCGAAGACTTGGATCACTTTTTGTGGAAACTAGCGCAAAAACAAGTGAGAATGTTCGTGATGCATTCGTAGAACTTGTTCGTAAAGTGAGTTGTATTACCAATGTTATTGTTGCGTATTTAGTCTCTATGACGTGTTCAACTGTTTAGTTTGCTTATAACCTGTTCATAGTATAAGGTTTTAGTTCGACGTGTTGTGGGGATTTATTTAGTGATTTCAAGTTGGTATTCATCATGGATTGGGATAAGTTGAAGAACTATTGAAAACGTGAGAGAACTGGACAGTTGTTTCGTCCTCGTATAGGCCGCCTCAGCAGTGCGCACCAGTGAACCCACCAGGGATTGAACCTAGGACTTTCAGATTCCGTGCTCAAGTCTTTACTGTTGAGTCACTGGATCAGGATCTAATAGTCCACACTTCCCTACGAAAAAGCTCTTCAGTGCCCCCAGGTGTCTACACCATTAAAATGGCTCAGACAACTAGAGCCAATGCACTGTTGTGAGAGAATCTCAGTTTGTCTACATGTCTTTGTAGGTCACTTCATTATTGATCATATGAAACTTTGATTTCTTAGCTTTTTAAAAACCTTTAACATCCTTGATAAAATAGGGGATGGTAGTGGATGAAGATGAGTCTGTTTATTTATGTGAGATATTGGAATTGATGAGGAATTCAATTTAGAGGTTTGCGGGGATTTATTTGTTGATTTGAGGTTGGTATTCACCACAAACTGGCAGCACTGGACAGCTGTTTATCCCAGTATGAAAAATACCAACCTGAAATCCATAAATAAATCCCCACAAGCCTCTAAATTACTCTATGGTGTTCATTAGTGACTTGCTTCAAAATGAGATTCTCGAAGTTCTGATGAAAAGCCATGACCGGTGGGGCCAACCAAGTTGGACATGAGGACTGTTACTCAATGACGGCACTGTATGGAGGTCTCTCTGCATCCTAAACTGATAGAGGTAGGAAATGTGGACCACTGGATTCTGAGCCAGTCGCTTGATGGTACCGCGTGAGCCGCGGAACCTGAGGGTCCTATGTTGGGTCCCTGGAGGGGTCATAGATGCGCGCTGCTGAGGAGTCCTATACTAAAAGTGAAACAGCTGTCCAGTTCTCCTAAGTTTCCAATGGTTCCCTAAGTGGTGTCGGTCTCTGATGATGAGAAATAATTAGAAATTCCTCGTAAATTTAGTTCTGCAACTGAAAATGTTTAAAAATAAGAAGCACTTGTTAGGTAGGTTGACTTGCTGTGTGACAAAAAGGTTTTGCATCGGTTCTATTTCATCACTGTATTGTGTTTTTGATGAGGTCCGTTTGCAGCTATGTAAACCTGTATTTGACTTTACAAAGAGCTAGTGGTATTGAAGTGATAAAACCAACATTATTTTAATCAAGGGAGTTTGATTAGATCACTTTTTTGAATTTGATTGCGGTGGTTTGAATGGATCAGGCAGCTATCTTGTTACAGCGAACAATATTATTATTAATGAAATTTAACTGTAACTATCACCGCAAGAAAAAGCGGCGAATTATGATAACGACTATTGTCCACATCTAGTTAGCATTTGTTAGCAGTACGGTTCGTGGTAATGTTGCGCAACGTCCCAAGTTACCATACCTAACACCAACACATGGAGCTACAAAACAGCAATATAAAAAAGTGAGGGAGCAAAAATAGCATAATCAAAAGCTGTTGCAAACCATGGGATAGAGGGGAGAGTTTTAAGGTGTGGGTGTGAATCCATCTCCTTCTTTGTGATCGGTTTTGAGTCATATACGTGGATTATTTACAACAGTCAGTTTCAACTGTCTCCTGGAAGCCAACTCCCCTCTCATACAAGACTGAAACCATACAGTTCAAGGCTTCATGAACTCTTGCCACATTTCAGTCTGGCTATCTTTAACCTTCTTCAGTGAACGTCGCGCGCATCTACTCGATACTGTTACATGGAAGCAAAGACGATATTGAAAACTAGTTTAATATTGCTGTTGGAAATGAGATAATCAAAGGTCACATAGGGCTTTAAACTGTCATTTACCTGGGTTTAGTCATATATTGTAGTAGTCAGTTACTTTTTTTGCTACATCAGGTTCAAAGTGTTTGTTTCTGCAATGAATCCTTTACGTTATTACCAGCTTAACTCATTGCGTTGCCAGTTTTTCTTTTCATAGAGCTGGATAGTATAATACATAGGAATTCCGAGGTTTCCCTAGTAGCTTTAATGAACTTAAATCATAAGTTATAGGAATTAGTGATCGAACTTTACCAAAGTCCTATATGTCAGATAGATTGCTATTATCGAATTATTAGTTCGAGTTTGACATAGGATCTTTGAAAATCGTCTTTCACATAACCCTCAAGCTTAATCATAACTTTTAAAGCTGTATACACAGTTTATGCAACGACGTAGTTCTTTAAAATAAAGTGAACTGCTTGCCGAAGTTTTTTCAGTTCCCTGAATAAATAAATAGTTTTCTTACCTTACTCTTTAGCACCATCATTAGTTAAACTTTCAAAATTCTGCACTTATCTAGGTCAAGTGTAAGTGCGATCGAAATGCTCTCAGTAATCATGTGCATCAGGGAATGACCCACACCCACTGTGTCACGGTTAGTGATACTGCACGGATGATTAAACCTCGGTAGGTGGAGTGGTGTTAGAACCTGTGATCTGTTGACCGATAGTTAACTGACTAAACCGATCAGCCGCAGGTTCACAAGTGTAGGTGCAAGTCCCTTGAAGTCTCATTAATATAAGTGGAAAACTTGGACACTGTGGTAGGATTTAATTCCATATTAGGTTTTTTTTTATTTGATTTACAACACAGTGATACAGTATTATTTACTTGATGACGTTTTGAGCATAAATTATTACTCATAATCATACCAAAGAAACCACACTCCTCCTGACAATTGATTTTTGCAGTCTTATCACCTCATATTCTTTGGTTTCAGTGGAAGTAAAATTTTCCGCATCTTCGGTGCAGGTGTTGCATCATTCCTATTATATGTGTTGATTCAGTAATTAATCTCTTTTTCCAACTTGACAGTGGTTGTATCCCACCCTAACGTGTGGTTCTGTGTTAATGTATCCATTGTAATGGCTGAATGTTTTTTCTAGATTAATGTTCCCATTGGGGTCTATAATTCTATATTTGACTAAATCCTTATGTTCCAATAATCTCACTAACCCCGACCTGTTATTTTGACTTATGAACTTGACTTCACAGTCATTGCATTCAATTTAATAGATAAGATTATTTTGTTCTGATTTGGTCAATTGGATCCGTAAGCCGATAAAGCTTATTTCTGAGTACTTTGTAGGTTTAAATGCCACTCTAATTCCAGTCTTGTTGATAGTAGAAATAAGTTCAAAGCCTCTATTGTGTTACCATATAAGGAAGGAGTACCATAAACTTTACGTTGGATTCTCAACATGGGTGGAATTAGGGTGTTAAGAAAGGTTGAGTACTGATTCTTTGTTCATCGAATCAACACTCAACACGGAATAGGAATGAAGCACCACCTATACCAGAGATATAGAAAATCTTACTAGTAATAAAAACAAAGAATATGAGGTGGGTGATAGGACTATAAAAATCGGTTGTTGAAAGTTGGGTGATGACATTGATATGATAATGTGAGTAAATGTTTATACTCAAAACGTTATCAAGTAAATAATACTATGTATCACTGTGTGCTTTTGAAGTCCGTCTAAGCATCAACTGCAGAGTTGTTTTACGACAGGGTAGATTTTTGGTATATCCATCAGTAATTATGGGGTTAATTTCTCTTGAACTTATTAGAAGGGAGGTACATCTGGTGTATTCGACCGAACAATATTGTAATTATTCTTGACTTTTGCCTTACATTACACGTAGTTAGGATTTCATCGTTGAGTTATCCATCAAGTTTGGTAAGACGAGTTATTTCTCTTTAGTAGTAGTGGTAGTAGTAGCGGTAGTAAACACTTGTTGATATCACTGATTATAAACATTAATATCTACCATTATAGAAAATGAAATGAAACAGTGTTTGTCGAGGTTTACAAGAAGCCTGACCTCTACCACAAAAGCTGTGCAAGCGAATCCAAAGTAGCAAGAGTAACCATAGAGTATACTGGGTACAAGTGAATCTATAATTGATGTTATGATCAAAATTATGTCACAACTTTCCGTACTTAGACCAAACTTTCTCTCATCATCCAGTTGCACTAAGCAATAAGCCACACCTATTGCCTTACGATACTACCTGGCTACCCAAACCCTCGGCAGGTGCAGTGGACTCCAAATTTACCAGCCACTAGTTGGAAGTCAATCTTTGAGACCAACAAGCCACATACTCATAATTTCCATACAGTCTTTAATGTCTCATACAGACAACTAAGGGAATTTTGAACACCATTCATTCCCACTGTGTAAAGTGCTTAACTAGACTTCATGGGTAAAGTGTTTCATATGAGTGTAAGTATTGCTCATCAGCCGGATGTACCTGTACCCCAGTGAGTGAAGTTGTTCCCATTAGTTGATGTTTTTGTGTCAATCTGACCATCGCAAACAGTACAACTTTTACAAGAAAACACTGTAAACCAGAATGTGTTCTGTTCATCTTTACTAAAGTTTTCTTATTTATTGATAAGTGTTTACCAACTAACGTTTTTAACTGTATTTAAAAAAATAAAACTATAGATACTTCAAGATCCTGAATTCAGATCAGCCTCGTCGTCACAACCACCTAAAGGTTTACCGTTGGAGTGTAAACAACCTGATTCATCACTTTCAACGTGTTCGTGTTAATATGAAATTTAAGTCAATAAGATAACGGTTTATCTATAATCAGATGCATTCAACAATCAAGTGTTCAATTACAGAAGAACAAATCGCGAACTTACTGATGCCTGTGATCCACTTTATTGCCTTATTCCTTCTTACTGGCCTTTTTCCTGTGAACATTATCTCTCCTCTGGTCATTACTTTATGACATTTTGCACAAATGTTCATTCATATGATTAACCATTGTATTTTGAGATCGTTTGTGTGGTATTTCTTTATTGATTTTGGTGAACCTTCATCGAATGAGGTGGCTTGGACATGTGTTGCTCATGCAAACTCTCCCTCTATCTGGACGTGCAATGCTGGGGGAAGTTGGACTAAGTTGGAATAGGTTCAGGGTGGTCAGATCAAGACGTGGTACCAGTCGATGAGGTGTCTAACTGTTGATCTGAACCGGGTTGGGAGACGTAAACTGCCTGGTTGGGGTCCTTTGGACGAAGCGAATCAGTGGTTGAGGACCCTTAGTGAAATGGCTGGAGATCGGTCACAATGGCACAGATGTATTCAGCTTTCAGGATCTTTTAAAGCTTGAATATTTTCACTAGCCTTTATCTTCAAATTGTTTATTGTCACACAACTTTGTCTATTTTGTTGTCACTCTTTTTCCATCCACATGTTGTTTGCATACTACTGTAATGTGTGACAACTTGAATCGATGCATTTGTGAACGAGGTCCTACTTTGATTTTGTCTGCCTATCTATTATTTACATCCTGTCATCATCGTTATTCTTCAGTCAAAAATATGGTGCTTTCGTGGATTGGATGTTAAGTATCGAAAACCACCTAATGAGTGTCTGGTGCATACTGAGTGCAACTATACTAATGAGAGTATGGTTGCGTTAAACGCTTCATCTGCTACGTACGATTAGAATTGTTAACATTGGAATACATGACTGATTCCAATGTTTCTTTTTCCCGTGTCTAAAACTTTTCTAACACAACTAAATAGCCTCCTGACTAGTTATTATGATAATTTACCTGGATTTGGCTAGTAAAGTAATCCAGGATACACATTTGGTCTTATTGCGCTGCCCGCTATCCAGTCGGACCCTGAATGGGACATAGAGACAGGTCCCCCAACACTAGAAGAAGTTGAGAAAGCGGTAGGTAGCCTGAAACGGGGAAGGGCAGCAGGACCAGACGGACTACCTGCTGAGGTATACAAGAATGGTGGTAGAGTTCTCTTAGTCAGGCTAACGGAAGTGTTAGCCAGTATATGGGAATCAAATACGATCCCCTCCGACTGGTCTAAGTCACTGATCATCCCAGTCTTCAAGAAAGGCGAGAAGTCCTCTTGTGATAACCACAGAGGAATCAGCCTGACAAACATAGTGTCTAAGATCCTAAGTTCTATAATTCTCCGACGCCTGAGTGGAGCTCGGGAACAGCAAGCCCGAGAAAACCAGGCAGGCTTTAGACCTGGCCGTGGATGTATCGACCAAATATTCACACTGCGCCAGGTCCTGGAACATAGGCATGCTTACAGACGCCCGACAATAGCTGTATTTCTCGACCTGAAGGCGGCATTTGACTCCGTTGATCGAGAAGTCTTATGGCAGTGTCTGTCACTGAAAGGCGTGCCTAGTAAGTACATCACCTTATTGAAAGCTCTCTACTCGAACACTTGTGGGCATGTTAGAGCCTATGGTGAGTTGTCCAGGGAGCTATACTCATCAAGTGGTGTCCGTCAAGGATGCCCACTATCCCCATTCTTATTTAATTTTATCATAGATATTCTTATGGAGGTTTCCCTCTCGTCACCTAATTACAAAGACGTTGACCGGATCACAGGTGAATTTTCCTTAGATCTAGAATATGCAGATGACATAGTCCTGTTAGGTGAAGACGCTGACAAGATGCAGAGTCTTCTGAACACTTTGAGTGGGAATTTGAGAATGTTTGGGATGCGATTTTCACCACCCAAATGCAAATTTTTGCTCCAGGACTGGTCTTCAGCGGTACCGCGGTTAACAATAGAGAGTGAAGTGGTTGAGTGTGTTGACCACTTCACTTACCTGGGAAGTAGGATCAACTCCGGTGGGTTAGTTGCCGATGAGATTTCTGCACGGATACAAAAGGCTCGATTGGCTTTTGCCAATTTGCGCCACCTATGGCGCCGCCGTGATATTCGTTTGTCTATTAAGGGTCGCGTGTACTGCACAGCAGTCCGCTCTGTTCTACTGTATGGCTGTGAAACATGGCCATTGAAAGTGGAAGACATGAGAAGGTTACAGGTATTTGACCACCGTTGCCTTCGTAGTATAGGACGTATTCCGTGGTGTCACCATGTGAGTAATGCAGAAGTTAGGTGTAGAGTTTTAGGGAGAAGAGGTAAGTCAGTCGACGAGGTTGTGAACCTTCATCGACTGAGATGGTTGGGACACGTACTACGTATGCCTAGTCACCGATTGCCTCGTCACACAATGTTGGCTGAGGTGGGTTCAGGCTGGAAAAAGGCCCGAGGTGGCCAGACTAAAACATGGCACCAATGTATGAAGTCTCTGACTGTTGGTTTAAGCCATGTAGGACGATGCAGACTAGGTGGTTGGGGTCCACGGGACAAGAGGAACCAGTGGTTGGAGACCCTAGGTGATATGGCTCAGAACCGAAGTCAGTGGCGCAGATGTATACACACATTATCCTCATCTTAACAACGCTATACCGAATCTCACTATTTTGTCACTCCTCTTTCCTTTCTTCTCGTACTTTATATTTCTTTTGACTGCATTCACTTATCTTCATCCTTCACCTCACTACCTTTTTACTTGATGTGCTGATATGAGGTGTGGCAACTCGGACCGTTACGCAGTAATGCCTGGTCCTATGTTGATAATGATGATGATGATGATTTGGTCTTATTCGGGGCTCGTCAGCCGGATGTACCTGCACTCCAGTGAGTGAAGTTGTTCCCATTGGGATTCGAACCTTGTGCCCATCGCTTCAAACACCAGAGCGTTATCCACTTGGCCACCTCCTGTCTGTTTGTTTATCTCATTGCTTTCAATTCAGTCAGCCTGTTGTAAATATCATTGATTAACGCGATGAGAACTTCAAATGTACACTGATTGGTCACGGGTGATCAACCCATCTCATATTGTCTAGTCTTGATTCCTAACCGAGTTCTATCGATCATTTTGTAATGTGGCCAACAGACTAGGAGGCTCACCACTGCTAGGCACTTTGATGGATGTTAATTGGTTAGAGGCAATCGGCAGTGTATCTAATCCAGCCTTACAGCAGGTCAGTTGCCAGCTGCATAGCTTAATGGTGACATCTCAGGTTGCAACAGTGGGTGACGAGGATTCGAACTTCACAGGGGACATTAGTTCCACTCGAGGTCAAAAATACGCCTCGCTGACGAGTGTAAACAAGTAGGAAGCCTAGGTCAAGCCGGGTTTCCTGCCGATTGTCTCCAACTAACGAACTTTGCATGTAGTGGTCGTGCCTCATGGGTGTAAAGTAAAAACACAACCAGAACTGCGTTCACTTATTATCTTACAATGCATGACTAGATTTCTGCATTTATCCTGGAAGTTGTACGTACTAAGTACCACTAGCTCACTCACTTTTATTTACTTTGATAATTCGTTTTTTTGGCAATCTTTTCGCTTAGCTGATTAGAAATATCCGAATTTTAAGGCTAGTTGAGTCAAACAAACATCATATATCTTCTTCATATTATTGAATGAAGAGGCATGTTGTTACAGTTGAGTAAAGTGTACAATTGATATGGTAATACCTAAATTTAGATAGTCTGTCTGACTACTATTGATGTAGAAGCTCAAGTATGCGCGTAAATCCACCGTTTCTTGACGGGCATAAATCATTTGATAAGGTGAAGGGGTGATATCTACTGACAGCTTAATCAACTGATGACATATAAGGAAGCTAGAAACTCATGTGGTAGTGCATCAGTTTCAGTTACCGACATCACTAAACAGCAACACGAGGTTCAGAAAAAATATGTATAAAGAGATGAGATATCTTGCACTTAAAAATTACTGAAGGTGAATGGATCCACATAACTATGAAAAAATTTATATCATGGTGTATCTGGCTTGAAATCAGTGATGAGTTTTCTTTTATAGATCCCAATGAGATGGCTCGCACTACTCCTTGCAGCTTCAATTAGCCTATAAGCTTTCATGATGCTCTGTTTTTATTAACCTAAAGTTTATTTCACTTCTGTTGTTATATGTCGAAACGTGTCGTGTATGATTCAACGTGTGAATCAGATCTCCAAGCCACGTCACTTGTCCCAGATGCCAAGAAACTATTCATTGCATGTATCCTACCGTAATTTACACTCTTTCGAGGGATGAAAAGGATGAATTCTATGAAAAGTTGTAGATTTCGCTGCAGACAGGAACGTTCAGATGTCATAATGACAAGTAATCGTAACGCTTAAGTAGGGAAGCTGAGCCAATCGGAGAAGCATCTGCGAGATGTCAACGAACCGATAATAGTGGTTGTCTTTTGCAATTTCGCTCCAGCTACCACTCGTTTCTGACTAGCACTAAATTCAAGCATAAGAAGAGACACTGTCTCACATGGTGTCCACCGATATCAAACCAACGAAGGACACAAATACATCACATTGCTATAAGCCACCTTTGGAGAGAACCGGTGGGGGATTGCTGCTCTTTCTAGAGTGCCAGTTTGGACTCCGATCACGTGTTAGTTCGGGCACGTGTATGTCAGCGCCTTACTGGTCACAGGAAACAGGCAGCAGCAAATCCTGCCCATGGTCGGTCGGGAGATGAAAATTTCAAGTCCGAATTTAGGAAAGATAGCTAAGCATTTATCTGAACATGACAGTAGTGGTCATCTTGAGGAAATCTTGAGTGATATTAAGTCTGCTATAGAAACAGCGGTCAAGATAATCAGTAATATAAACAAGGTTAGAAAACTTTCACTGGATTTCCGTTACGTTATCCCAATTGATTGATGTAGAAAAACTGATTCTAGCTGGCTCTGACCATAATGAAAAGCAAACTAAACGCAATTTGCTAAAACATCTCGTCGATTGCGAGCAGTGGTGGGTAACAAGAGTGAGAGCGAGAGAGATGGAGAAGGCATTAGTGTTAGGTAAAACCTGGTAAATGTTTAGGCTTGTTAGAGATACCG